GCCATGTTTTGTAAACTTTGAAAACCGTGTTATTTAAATTTTAAACGCCGTACTTTATAAGTTGAGAATGGATTTTATGAAATTTACATATCCCTTATCTTTTGCACATAAGTCTTGATATTTAATTTGTGGGCGAATTATGCTAATTAGAGATGAATACAGCTTCTTCTAAAATTGATATTTGCGTATACTTGCCTTCCGCTGCATATTTCAAGTAACTGGTGCATATTTTGCAATTTATCAATTTTTATGGTAGTTTTAAAATTTTTCGTTATGAGAAAACTGAAAATTTCGAAAAGTATTTAATAATAAATTATTTCCAGAATAGTAATTAAACAGTTATTTATTAATCTAAGTATTGTAATAGGGTCCATCGGACGAATTTCTAATTTTATGTTTTCTCGACGTTTCATGACCCCTATAATACGAAAACATAAGTCACTCGTTTCCGTCTGTCTGTGTGTCTGTCCGCCGTCTGTGCCAATTTATCTTAGACAAATAATCTTTGAAACTACTGGGCCGATTGTTGTAAAATTTTATACACGCATTATCCATACCGTGCAGATGGTAAAACGCTAACCAAACTTTGTATAATCCACCAACGATGTGATGACGTCACTTTGAACATAATAGATGTTGTTTAAATTTGATGAAATAGCATACTCCTGCACGTTTAGTTTATAAATCCATCTTGATTTTTTTCTCTAGACATCCAGGTTTTTAGAAAACAAAAATCAAAACTGTATGAGAACATTTTATAATTTAATTTTGAAACTGCTAAACCGAATGCTCTGAAACTTTGCACACGTTTTAAGGTTATCATAAGCATCGTTAATCAAAATTTATTCGTTTATCCCCTCCAAAAAATTGATAACGTCATCTCAAAATTTTGCCGAATATATCTTATCTAAACATGCAAAATATTGTGTGTCTATACTTCTAATTTATCTATGCATTCATATTTTTTCGAATTTCCTATACAGAGTGATGCAAAAAAAGAATGAATGATTCATTCATTTTATTAATTAAATCAATAACGGCTCACTCCATGCTTCCAAAAATTTGGGAATACAGTACTGTTATTAATAGTATTAGACTGTACCTATCCAAATTGGTACATGTGTCTTTGTAAAAATGTTAATGACGTCATAACATTTTGTAACAGAAACACTTACTTGAAACAAACACATAGCATTCTGCTTTACTTTTACTTTAGCATTACGCATATCTTTATATTGTAACTTATAAGATTTATCAGAAAAAAAAATCACAATATCAAATCTTACAATTTTTCGACAAAGTTGAATATGTTTTATACTATTATACTATACGATACTGTACTTCAGGAGGGAGGGAAGTTCTGTCTAAACAACTTTAGACCAATTTTTTTATGAAAATCTAAGAGATTGAAAAATTAATATGTTTTTATTGGCATAGCTTCATTAAATTTTTCCATACACATTTTCGCATGTCTAACAAATCAAAAACTTATTTTTCAAGCAACTAGATTTGAATTAAATATGTAGATAGTTTTTGACTTATTTTACTAAATAACTTCTTAATTGATTAATTAATTACACAGGTCTGCAAAATATTTTTTTTTTCAGAAGCATGAGATATTTTTACTGAATACTAAATATGTTTTCTGGTGTGCTGAATGTGAAAATGACCCCCATTTCGCCTCATCACGTACAGTTTTTTTGCAAAATATGAGGAAATAAAATTACAAAGACTACTCAAATGTAGTATTCTATTATAATTTACTAAACCATTTTAAATTTTTCAACGTACCAACATTTTTCTATACACATTTATTTATCTATTTCGCCCAAAGATAATCATCTTAGTATCATGAGTAAGGACAAAAAGATGTATTTTGACAGATATATAAATGTATTGAGCAAAAGGCATACTTTGTAGCAAAAAACAGATTTGAAATTCGAATTCAGCATCAAAAAATAGTTCAGAGAACAATCTAAATAAAATTTTAGTTGTCTGATTATGGCCGATATGTCGAAAACATATATTTTTGTACCTTTAAAAAATGCGATTTTACCAAGTTTTTAGAATTTACATCGGACTACAAGGATAAGGGTGCAAGATACGTACTTTTCGATGTCAGATTCATGTTCAGCACAGTCATAAACATAAGGAATGGTGTATCACGTCTGTCAGAAAAATTTTTAGTTTTTAACGTTTTTTGTAGAGTAGAAAAATTAAAAAATCCTTAATGGTAGAAAATCCTGACGTGATAGAGCAAAAGGAGTTTCAGATCTTGATTCTACACACAAAAAAACATAAAATTCACCTATAATATCCCATGCAGTTTTTTGGGTGCAACCCTGTGTTATTATTTATTTAATTAATTAATTGATTACTAATAAATTTTTAATTGATATCGGTTTAATTGAATATCGGTTATATTTGATTTTTTGTAGTAAAGAAGCAAGCTTTCCACTTATAAAAAAAATCCAGTGTCCCATATAAAAAATGAAGCTGCTGTCATTTCCGTTTCTACCGGAAGTGATAATAAGAGGGTGTGGATCAGATAGATATTTTAAAATGATACAAATCTGTTCACAGAACTATAGGTTTATCTTTAAAATTAAAAAAGTTACAGGTTGTATCAAATGAAAAAGACACCTGTATACGGTGTGGGAGTCTCCACGCAAACCGATATATTTTTTACATTGCAAACTACACTTTTTTGATGGATTTTAATAGACCTTTAAAGTACATATAATTAAAATGACATAAAATATTTAGTTGTACCTATTAGTTTTAACTGTATGTAGGCGATACCAAAACGCTAACCGGCGTGGGCGACGAGACGGCGGGAACGTGCCCATGGATACCGACGATTTTTACGACTAAATCAAGGGTGTTGATTCATTCGCTTACTAACCACGGAACTAATTCTATGCTAATAATAAAATTCTCTTAAATCCGATAATCCCTAAGTATTAAATTAATTAATAACCATCCTCACATGTTAAATATAAACTATCTAGATGAAGAGACATTTCATTGTTCATTGTAGCCCAGACTTGTTTTATTTACTTTGTCTTTGGCAAATTTTATTTTACGTCTACGCCGCCTTCAGTGCTTCTCTAATTGGTATTAAAACGCATTTCTAATACTAAAAGAAAGTGTGGGGCCAAGATATAAGTTAATTATTTCCGCCGGGGCTACAACCATAGCCCGTATTACATGACCCCCACAGTACGAAAAAGTAAGTCTGCCGTTTCCGTCTGTCTGTCTGTTTGTCTGTTTGTTTTTCTGCCTGTTTTTCTGTCTGTCTGTCCGCCATCAGTGTCAGTTTTTGTTAGACAGATTATCTCCAAAACTAACAACTTTGAAATTTTGCAAACGTTTTAAGGTTATCGTAAGCATGGTAAATCGTTAATCAAAATTCATCCGTTTATCCCCTCCAAAAAATTGATGACGTCATCTCAAAATTTTACCGAATTATTCTTATCTAAAACGTGCAAAATATTATGAGTCTATACTTGTGGATTATCAATGCATTCATATTTTTTAGAATTGTTTATACAATTTATGTTACTGATTAAATCAAGAATAGCTCACTCCATGTTTCTGAAAATTTGGGAATACAGTACTGCTGTCATTGGTATTAGCTGTACCTATTAAAATTGGTACATGTGTCCTTGTAAAAATCTGACTTTATTGACAAAGCTGAATATGTGATACTGTATTTCACGAGCGGGAGAAGTTCTGTCTAAATAACTTTCGACCAATTTTTTCCATGATTATATTTATTTATTTTTTTTTTTTGGGTTAAAAATAGTGATATTTGTTTTTCTTTATTGTAGTAAAAAAAAATTTGGTATAAACTAATAGAAAATTAATTTTTCTTTCATATATTTTTACAATATATACTTGTTCAAGGTCATTAGTTAATGTTTAAACATGTTATTTATAAATTTTTTATGATTAGACGTAATCTCGATAAATCTGTAAATAAATTTTGTTCTGCTTATGAAGATTTTTTTTTTATTTTGGAGCATAAGCAACTGCATATCCTTGATAATTTTAATAAAGTTACTGCATATTTGCATAAATTGAATGCATATTATATGATGATATTTCTCAAAATTTTGCTGCATATTTTCCGCTCTCTATTTATAAGCGTTTAACACCCCAACATTAATTTTGATGATATAAAATTCGAAAACTCTTAGTGTCGTACTTTTAATTTAGAATTAGTTATACAGGGCGAATTAAGAATATTTTAAAGATCGAAGTAATTTATTTTAATGATCAAATCCATATTGGTCCACTTCACTTTCCCGAAATGTTGAGAATACAGTGCTTCTGTTCCGTTATTGGTATTACACTATACCAGAGCTATTGAAATTGATAAATGTGTCCTTAACAAAATGTTAATGATCATCATAAAATTTTTATGTGAAAAAACTCACATGAAACATACTCACAGTTTCTTCTTCTATGTACTTTATTTTTACTTATAGAGGCTATCATAAAAAATAATAATTTTGTAACATTTTTTCGATACAATTGTAAGATGACGTCATCGTTTTGGGGGCGGGATAAACGCATAAATTTTGATTAACGATTTACCATGCTTACTATCTTATATAAATATAACCTTAAAACGTTTGCAAAAATTCAAAGAATTCTATTTTGCATTTCAAAGTAAAATTGTAAAATATTATTACACAATTAAAAAAATTTGCACCCTTAGGGCTCAAAATCAAGATGGATTCATAAACTATATGTGCAGGAATATAATATTTTATAAAATTTAAATAACATTTACCATGTACAACTTTGAGGACGTAATTACATTATTACTGGGGATGATTAGACAAATTTTGGTTAGCGCTTTAGCATTTCTACAATTTGACAACAGTCAGATCGGTAGTTTCGGAAATCATCTGTGCAATCAAAATCGACACAGACGGCGGACAGACTGGTAAACAGAAACGGGCGACCTATTTTTTCGTACTTTAGGGGTCATGAAACTTCGAGTAGACATGAAAATAGCCATTCGTCAGATGGACCCGATTTCAATATGTACCTTCTTAGCTTACTTCCGGGAAGTAAAAATCTTTGGTCATTTTATCCTAAAAACCAAAAATATGCTTCCGCCTATTTTGATCAAAATATCTCCTAGAATTCATTTTCATTAACTAGTTTTTAGGAAAAAATAACATTTTTTATAATCTGTTGGTTCAACGATTCTGAAGAATTTCTTTCCTTGATATCGTCGTGACTTTAAACCATTACAGAATAACAACCTTGCCGTTGCTGACATCACTTATTGTTTTTTTTCCTGGCATTCTGTGTTATTGCTGACTATAGGCGGCGGCGGCGGCGGCGGGAGAGGAAGCAGATTGTATTATGTCATGATCGTAGCTGTTCCAAAGCTGTTGTTGTGTCTTTTACCTGCGCTTTTAAGCTTTAGTGATGTGTGCCTAAAGGAAAGTGTTGTGGGGTGCAACTACGGTTTAAACCATTTACCCAAAAGAAAAATGTGTACAATCATCAGTTACCAAAGGGTAACTTATTAACGTTGGTTTGTATTCTACGTTTGGTAAGTAAATTTTAAGATGATTCCATTCTTTTATGAAATTTACAAGTGAAGAAGCTATGTAGTGATTCTTATTTTTTTTTTCGTAGACAGAATTAGGTCTTCAGTGCGGAAATCGAGTTCGGAAGGACAAATATTTCCCACTTCGTGGTGCAACAATATCCGTCTCTGAAAGTTTCCAAATGGAATTCAAGAGCAGTACGTCATCCTCAGGATCGTCGGCAGATGTACATAGTAAGTACTTTTTATACATTTTTGTATCTCTATATACATTAATGTTATGAGTCAACATACATTTTTTTATGAAGATAAGTCCTATACAGGATGTCCCAGTTTGATAACGGATAAAGATATTTAAAATTCCGTAAACGCCATTGTTTTTAACTTAAAGGGGAAAGATAAATTTAGTACACCGCAAATATGACGTCGGCATCGCGGCGCAAAATTACATTTTTTCAATCGCAACGTAAATATTTTAAAAGAGAGATCCATTTGACGAGTGGCTATTTTCATGTTCATTTCATGACCCCTAAAGTACGAAAAAATAGGTCGCCCGTTTCTGTCTGCCTATCTGTCCGCCGTCTGTGTCGATTTTGATTGCACAGATAATTTCCGAAACTACCGGTCTGACTGTTGTCAAATTGTAAAATATTATTATGCAATTAACGTAAATATTTTAACCGATTTTAATATGTCGTTAGAGGTTTATTTCATTTTTAGTTGATAAAAAATTGGTCTAAGTTATTTAGACAGAATTTCTCACGCCTCAGTGTAACATATTCAGTTTTTTTGAACAACTATAAATGAAAATAAAGATACGTGTGTAGTGTTAAAGTAAATGTCAAGAAATATCCTATGCGTTATTTTTCAAGTGAGTTTTTCTATTACAAAATTTTGTGATGTCGTCATCAACATTTTAACAATGACACGTATATAAATTTGGATAGGTGCAGTGTAACACTAATAATAACAGTATTATATTGCCAAATTTTCTGGAAAATGGAGTAAGCCGTTCTTGATTTAAGAGTCCTCACGTTTTTTGCTTACGGATTATCAATACATCTTCAGAGTGTAATATCTAATCCTATTATTTTGTCGAAAATGAGATACAGTAAAAAAAAGCTTCTCTGACATAAACTGTTTTTACTGTGTCTCCTTACCGACAAAAAAGGCGACAATGTTGTTTATAGGATTTCTAGAGTTTTTAAGCTGAAAACAGTGTTGAAAACTGGGTCCAAAAATTTTCATACATAATAGAGATTTGGAATTTTAAAAATACGTGATGAAAAAATGTTACCAAAAATTTTAAAAAATGATGCTCTTTTTTACAAAACTACTTCCGCGTTATATAATGGAAGGTGTTGACATGAAACTTCTTTTTACTGTATCTCATTTCCGACAAAAAAAATCGACAATGTTGCTAATAGGATTTCTAGTTTTGTAAGTTAAAAATAGTGGTGAAAGCCGTGTTCTAAAATTTTCCTAAATAATAAAGATTTCGAATTTTAAAATAAGCGATAATTTTTTTTTACCAAAACTGAAAAAAAAAATGATGATAAACTCCTTTTTACAAAACTACTCCCGAGTGAGATAGTGGAAGGTGATGACATGTTTAAAATTTCATAACAATAAATGTGTTTAATTGTGATAAACTCTTTTTTACGACAAAAAAATTCGGCGATGTTGATAAGATTTTTAGAGTTTTGTAAGCTAAAAATAGTGGTGAAAACCAGGTTCAAAAACTTTCATAAATAATATAAATTTCGAGTTTTAGAAATATGCGATAAAATTTTTTACCAAAACAAAAAAAATGATAAACTCATTTTACAAAACTACCCCCAAGTGATATAGTGGAAGGTGTTGACATGCTATGTTTAAAATTTCATAAAAATAAGTGTGTTAATAACGAGAGATATTACATTCTGAAAATGTATTGACAATCCGTAAGCAAAAAACGTGACGACTCGTCTTACCCTCATTCATTAAGTTGTTTTGCACCCTGTACAAACAATTCTAAAATATAAATGCATTGTTAAACCACAAGTATAAACTCATAGTATATTGCACAGTTTCGATAGGATTTATTCGGCAAAATTTTGGGATGACGTCATCTATTTTGAAAGGGTATAAACGGATTAATTTTGATTAACAATTTACCATGCTGACGATAACCTTAAAACGTTTGCCTAATTTCGGGGCATTTGTTTGTTCAGTTTCAAAGTTAAAATATAAAATATTGTTATATAATTTTGTTTTTCTAAAAATCTGGATGTCTAGGGTAAAAAAATCAAGGCGGATACATATACTACACGTGTAGGAATCTGTGACTTTATAAAATTTAGTCATGTTATATGTATAATTTGGAAGTTACGTAATCATGATTTCTCACCGTCTCATGATCATGTAGAATACGAGAACATAGATTTCCTATTTCCATCTGTTTGTCGTTTCGGATTTATCTGTCTAATAAAATCGACATAGACGGAGAATAGACAGTCAAACAGACAAACTAACAGACAAACAACAATGAGAGATCTGTTTTCGTACTCTAGCAATCATGAAACGTCGAACAACGTGAAAGTAGTCATTCGTCCGATGAATTCTACTACAATCCTCAGCTTATGCTCAGGAAGTAAAAAGTTATTTAGATAGAAATCCTCTTCCTCTTTATTTGATATTTTTCGTAAGAATACACATCAGTTTATAAGTTCAATGAAACACTCCCGATCTTGCTCTAATTTATAGATTGACAAGATAATAAAATCCTTTTTTACCTCCCTAGAGTAAGCTAAGGAAATATTGTAATAGGGTAGACTCGGCGAATGACAACTTTCATGTTTCAGAGTATGAAAAAATAGGTCCCCGTTTCCGTCTGTCTGTTGATTTTCATTAGACAATCTCCAAAACTACCGATTGTTCCGATTCCAAATTTTATAAGCACTTTAGGAATATCGTGTAGATGGTAAAACGCCAACTAAAATTTGTCCTAATCATCCCTACCAACAACTTGTTGACGTAACTTCAAAATTTTGCATATTAAATGTTATTTAAATATTATAAAATAACATACAACTTTACTTGTAGTTCCTGAATCCGTCTTGGTTTTTTACCCTAGATATCCAGATATTAAAAAAAAATAAAATTGTATAAAGTGAGCATGATAAATCGTTAATCAAAATGTATCCGTTTGTCTCGTCTTAATCTAAAAACATGACATAATCTCAAAAATTTACCAAATAAATCCTATCCAAAATGTCAAAATATAATGAATTTATATATATACATATATATATATACGTATCCAACCGTCGTTACCAAACCCAACATATTAAACAGACGTTACCAAGCCCGGCTGTTTTTCCGAGTATAATATAATAAATTTAATGGTTTTTGCAATAACAAACTTAAAAAAAAGTAGAGGGGTAAAATTATACCTTGAAAAAAGTTAACACCATATTCATCCAACGTTACCACACCCACTACGTCCAACAGCTTTCTCAGTCCCATTTCGGTATAAATAACACAGTAAACCGACGTTATCAATCCCGACATTGTTGCCACATTAAATTTATGGAAAATCGCTTCACATTGTATTGATCTGTAAAATTTCTTGTGTATCTTGAAAGTTGGATTTACAACCAGTGGATATGCAAAAGTGTGACAAAAGAAAATAAGGAAAACCAAAAATATATCTTATCTGCCTGTCTTTTTGACGCCATGAGTGCCATGACAAACGGGTAACTCATTAATAAAATAAACGCCAAGGCATTTTTTTTATTAACAGATATGCAAGTTTGATAGACATTAGTAACATTTTCTTTTTACTAGTTGTACATGTCTATCGAGTTAGTTCAACCAAAATTTGGATACCTATTCCCACCTAAAATTTTAAGAAAATTTATAAAATAACATAATTTTACACTTGCGATTTATTAATGCAATTTTTATTTGACGACCTTAGGCTTACAGATTTGTAAAAAAATGTTAGCACAAAAATTTTCTAGTTTATTTCATAAAGTTTTTAAATGATATCTAAGCTTTTCTTACACATAACATAAATCACAAATTAAGATTTTTTAATATTAAAATCCTAAAAAAAATCGAAATTTTAACCATAAAATGGTACAATATGTGTTAGAAACTTGAAAAATGATTTTGAGATCTAAAATTGCATATTCTTTAAGAGTAACTTTAATATTTCAAATTATTAATTGAAAAATTTAAGAACGCTATACTAGTAATAAAAAGACCCTCTTCAAAAAAGTTACAATGCTCCATAGCAATTATTTAATCAATACTTAATAATCGCCTATTAACAAACGAGTTGGTTGCAATACTTCTCCGGTGATTGCAATTTCATACACGAAACTGCTAAAAATCAGTTCCAAATTTCATGATATTTATAACATTTAAATAAAAAATTTTACATCAAGTGCGCGGGGGTATATCTGATTGCTGTATTAACCCATTAATATATAAATCGTTTATAAATAGCCGTAATTAATGAATGATTTCGAAACAGAATCACCAAAAAATGTTTTTAAGTCTAGCTGGCACATTTAGAAGCACAACAAAATGCTCCATAATTTTCTGCAATTTTAAGCTTGTCTCTGTCTATATTGTTAAATAGAAAAAAATAATTTCGTTTGCAAATTTACAGGCCCTCGAAGGATCTCGATCCTTTAATAATACTTAGCATGGCAAACGCTACAATGAAATTAGTACATGTGAAGTCCATGTGTCATTTTAGTTTTCGTGTACATATTTTGTCTGAACCATATGAATTCTGCAAAATAATCCTTATCCTTGCTGAGACACATTTTAAGACTTTCATCTTTCTCTAGATTGTCTGTTTCCCATCTAAGTATACCGGGTGTCCCACGTAACATTTTCGGGCGCAATAACTCAGGTATTTTTGAACGGATTGTTATGAAATTTGAAATGTAAGTACTTTGATAGGTGAGTATTAATATGAACCGGTGAGAATAATCATTATCTTGAAAAAGTAAATTTTCCATGCCTTAATTTAATTTTGAAATAATTAAGTTTAATTAATTTGCATCACTTGATTAAACATGAAAAATAAATACTGTATGCAAAAATTCATCTCCGAAATACGTCTGGTTAGCCAAACCGATAAATTATTGCGAAAATAATTCAAAAATTATTAAAAGATAGGTAGCTATGGAACAAAAAACTGCTATCCTCGCATTTTGGACACCCTTGCGGGAATTTGATACCTGTTTGTCAAGCAATTTTCAGTCATTAATTTTTTTGAGACAGCTGTATAACCAAATCTAAAAAATATTAATGCAGTGATAAACTGATAAATCACAAGTATAAAGTCATCATATTTTGCATATTTAAGATAGGATTTATTTAGCAAAATTTTGAGGTGATGTCATCAATTTTTAGGGTGGATGAGCAAATACATTCTGATCAAAGATTTACCATGTTTATGATAATCTTAAACATCTCCATGATTTTAAAATATTCGGTTTTGCAGTTCCTGATTAAATTAATAAAATAAATCACGCATTCAATAATTTTTTTGTGTCATCCTGTTTATGCAAATTCAAAAAATGTGAATAAAATTTATACCGCAAAATTTTGATGTTTCATAATTTTGATTTTTTTCCAAAATTCTGCACTTTTCGGATAAAACTCAATACGGAGTCATAAACTACATGTGTAGGACTATGGTATTTCATACAATTTAAGACCCATGTACTATGTGCAATTTTAACATGACGTCATCACATTGTTGGTGAGGACGATTAGACAAATTTTGGTTAGCGTTTTACCATCTACATGATATTCCTAATATACCTATACTCGTAAATACAAAATTTGACAACAATCGCCCCGTACTTTCGGAGATTATCTGCCTAATAAAAATCCGGGGCTGCAGACAGACGGACAGACGGAAATGGGGACCTATTTCTTCGTCCTGTAGGGGTAATGAAAGGTCGAGAAAACGTAGAAGTAGAGAGTCGGCCGATGGACTTGATTACAATACTTCCTTTACTTACGCTCAGTAAGTAAAAAATCAACTAAATGCGAAATTCTAACGAACAGAAATAAATAAAACATTTGCCGACAAATATATTCATTAAAAAAAATTGAATAAAAACTAAATGTTGCTTTAAAAAGATTGTTGTCGAAATCTACCAATAGATGTACAAATTAGATGTAGCTAAAAGAATGATCTCTGTCAGTTAATATTAAGTGAGGATCAATTAATTTAGAATATAATCAAGTTCCTATCTTCAAATAAAAATTAAGTAAAATATGGATACGTAGATCATTATAGCGAATTTGAAAATAAGAGAGGATTAAAAAAAACTACACTTACAGAAGCATACAATTTTGCACTTTGCAAATTACATTCAGTTAAACGCTTTGGTGACCTGACCTGACCACGTTCATTATAACTGTAAGTGCTCATTCACAATGGTCATAAAACATAAGGATGTCATAAGCATTAATGCATAAGAATTTATGTTTAGTGCTCTGTCCTTCTATTCGTTTACAATGACCATAATGCTTAGGACATCCTCATGCTTTATGCCTCTTGTGAATGAGCACTAATGCATATTGTGAACGAATACAACCATAGAGCACTAAACATAAATTCATATGCATTAATGCTTATGACATCCTTATGCTTTATGCCCATTGTGAATGAGCACTAAGACATAATTATGCAAAATTTTGAGGAGTCGTTTTCTAATTTCTGAAATTAATCGTCAAATGTTGTATAATTTTTACATATTTTTCAAAAAATTTGCATACATACATATATCGTCTACTAAATATAAATAAAACGATCTGATTTAAAAAAAATAATTTTTAACTTTCATTCGTTTTTATCTACGACATACAATTTTTGTTTTTTAAATGACACCAGACACCCTGAATATTTTTTTAAGATTCATGTAGAGATTTTTTCTAAATTTATTGATGTATCATAGTGTACATAATATTTTCAAACATTAATAATTTAATACATCATATTTGCAATAAAATGTTTTGAGTTAATAATGTTTTCGTATAGAAGTTTAATTTTCAAATTTAAAACTCCTATACATTAATAAGTGTTATAAACCGTGTTAAACTTGCTATGTAACAAAAATTTTGGTACATTTTTCAGTTACAGTTACCTTGCTATAAAAATTAAATTAATTTTTGCCACAACTTTTTAACAAAATGCGAAACATGGTACATCAATATTCAGAAAAAAAAATCACAAAAATTAAAAAAAAATATCTAGGATGTCATTTAAAAAACAAAAGTTGAATGTCATAGGCAAAAAAAAGAAAATTAAAAATTAGTTTTACAATTAAGATCGCAAAACATTTAAAATGATTTAATTTGATCTATTCAAAAAAATAAGATAGCTACGTTCCCGGGCTATTTTTTTTTTTCGAACATATGGTATATTTAAACTAAAAAACCTTATCTTTATTATTTTTATTAAACATGAGGCTGAATTATGTATTTAGTTAATTAGCATTTTACCCCCGTCTCCACGATAATCCTAAACTGTATCTAGAATTTGAAAATAATCTGTATAGTATATAATTTTGGAAATTGTCTCTAACAAGAACGGCGGACAAATGGCAATGAAAGACATAATTTTTCATATTCTAGGTCTAATAAGAGTTATGTAACATCGAGAAAACATGAAACTAGCCATTCCTCAAACGATTCATTGTAAAAATGCTTTATTAATTCAAATAACATATTTTTACTTCATGCAAGCAGTCAGATACAAGTAGAATAAGAAAAGTACTCATGATTTTCTTAAATACTGAACTGATCTGCTAGAATGCAGTGTTGCAGATTTACGGATCTGGTAACGTTGGTCCGATGTGGACGATTTTATGCAGGCAGATATTATATACAGCTAAGCGACACGACGCCCTCTGCAGAAAAGGGGAATGAACTATTTCTGTATAAAATTTGACGTTCAACAGTTTTACCAGACCCACTTTTTTATTTCAATTTTTAATTGTACTGGGCCCAAGAAGGCGATATACATGGTTAAACGTTATCAGACCCGAACCCGGGTCTGGTAACGTCTCAAAAGGTCTGGTAACGTTTACTAGATATAGCGAGTCGGGACTGTGTAAGCGGTATAACAACTATATATATATACATGTGTATGTTTTTGAGCATAGACTTCAGGTTAAAGAAAAAGTAATAACATTTTACAATTTAACTGAAAAACCGAATGCTCTGAGATCGTGCAAACATTTTAAGGTAATCGTAAGTATGGTAAATCGTTACTCAAAATTTATCTGTTTATCTTCGTCATCTCTAAATTTTGTAATAGAAAAACTCACTTGAAACATACAATACAATAACTTCGTTATTTGTATTGTAAGCGTCCATACATCTTTATGTAAACTTATATGGGTTGTCATAAAAAATGCCAACTCAAACTTTATAATTTTTCGAAAAAGCTGTATTTGTTACACTGTAGGGACAAGTTCTGACTAATACTTTAGACCAAATTTTTGAATAATATGAAAGTTAGAGGGACCTTTTTCGACCAAACTGAAACCATGAATTATTCATATAATAAAAATATTTGATTATTTTCTGTATCAAATTTAAAACCACATTCTGATGAGCGATTTAAAATAACAATTATATTATTTTAAATCTAATATTGCATTTTAGATTATGGTACAAAAGAGTGTTCTGTTCATTTAACCGATGTTATAAAAAGCAAGAAATCTGTGAAGTACTGTCTATCATCAGATGAAGCTTCCGACAAAGATGATCCATATGCAGATCCAGAATTTACAGATGACGAATATATACCAGGTAAGTTAATTGAAAGTTAAATCAAGTAACTGTCGTTAATTAACAACATTTTTAGATGAATCTACGCCTAGTACAGGACGGACAATAACTCCAATATCGTTTGAGCCTCTTTGTACCAGAGTAAACAAACAAACAGTTAGGCGCAGATTATTTACCAAAGAAGATAAAACATGTTTAGGTAATTAATCATTTTGTATGATTCTTAGATCATTTAATATAATTTTGCAGACAGCGGATTTGTTGGAGAACGACCACAGATGAACCGAATTAAAAAAGCTTGCAGTAAGATAAAAATTTATAACTCTGGTAAAGTTATTCTGGAAACTATAGAAACATTTCATGAGGGACAGTATCATGTCGGTATGTTCAGTGCTGCTTTGTCTCATTCCGATGAAAGATACCTGAGTTGCCACGTTTTCGACCAAAGTATTAATCACGATTGTAAATGTAAATAAGTTTAACAATCTAGTGATATTTTTCTGCAGTGCACTGTTTTTTAGTATCAACCCATGGAAAGAATATTGGTTTCTTATATAGACAAGAAAAAAGTTTAATGTGCCACATACTATGTTGCATTCCACCAAATGTAGTATTAGAAGGTACAGAAATAAAAGCGGATCATATAAATCAAAATATAACGTCTCTTATAATGCAGCCTATAGATTCTGAACTGAAATCTTCTACAAAATTGAAAGGGCACTATTGTTTCTACTGTGGTAAACTAAGAACCTGTATGGGTCGCCATTTGCAAAAGGTAATGAGCATAAATTTTACTTCTTATCTTGATGTTATGTTTTGCAGGTCCATGCAAAAGAAACTGAAGTAAAAAACATGTGCTTCAAACCAACAAAAGAGAAAAACAAACTTTTACGTCAACTTCGGTTGAAAGGTGATCAAAAGTACAATTTGCAAGTAAATTTACATCAAAGAATCCCTGTAAGAAAACCAATAAAACAAAAGTTATCTGAAAGTATTCACTGCCCCACTTGTTCTGGCTTGTTTGCAAAACGAAATTTTGCTAAACATGAATTAAAATGTTCAAAAAGAGCCCCAGACAGAAGACGTAGGCGTCAAAATGCTTTAATTTTAGATCAGAGACAAATTTCAAAAAGTTTAGAAGAAAAACTTCATATAAAACTCGTAAGCAACATGCTAAACGACGAAATTGGTGTAGTAGCAAAAAATGATCAGACAATACTTTTGCTTGGAATACATTTATGCAAGCTAAATTCAGAACAACGTTTTATGGATAATACTAGGTCACAGATGAGACGATGTGCAAGATTGTTGTTGATTATTAAACAGCTGGATCCATCAATCACTTCGTTCGCTGAATGTTTTATGCCATCTAAATACAAATTAATAATGCAGGCTATACGTAATCTTACAGGTTCTAGAGATGAAGAGGTTATCACCGCTCCATCTCTTGCTTTACAGTTTGGCCCTTTATTGACGACAATTGCCTCTCGTTTAAAGATTCAGCTTCTTGAAAATAATGTAGCTGAGGAAGATCCACGTATGGTAACGCTTAGAAATTTTGAATTCTTACATAAACAAGAATTTAAAAATGAAATTACTAAAACAGCTTTGAAAACGGCGAACATTAAGAAAGTTAAAACCGCAAAGGAAATACCAAGTCAGGAAGATGTAAAAATCTTTAATGAATACCTTAAAAAGATTTTGCTCCAAAGTACAGAACAACTTAAAAGTGAAAATTTTGACATTAGATCATGGAAGACATTGGGTGAATGTATACTATGCCAAATAATGATATATAATCGTAGACGACCAGGAGAAAGTTCTCGTATGCTTTTAGAAGACTACAAAACAAGAAAACAACTCCAACAGGAAAATTACAAACATCTTAATCGCCTGCAACGTATATTAGCTGAGAAATTTTCATTTATGTTCATCTTGGGTAAACGGCACAGGCCTCTTAACCTGCTACTGAAATCAGAACATATAGAGTAAGCACTTTAACTATACTGTTTTCACAAAATTTCAAATTCTATATCAATATATTTTGTTTAAGGACTGTAGTAAATTTGAGGTTTTGTGAATACTTATCCACTTTTTAAAATATTTCGCAACTAAAAGTAACTGTTTTAGGGCCCTCGATTTTTATTTATCATTTCGAGAACAAGCACAAATTCAAGAGAGTAATGTATTTCTCTTTGCATTCAATAATAATAATGGTCACCTCTCAGCGTCAGTGGCACTTCGAAAATTTGTTCATAACGCTAACCTTAAAGCACCCAGGTCATTCACTGGTACTTACTTACGGAAACAAGTGGCTACACAAGCACAGATCTTGGATTTATCCCACAATGAAATGCAGCACGTCGCAGATTACATGGGACATGATTTAAATGTACATTTGTCCAATTATAGACTGAATGATGCTTCAGTTAACATTTTTACTTTATCACGGTTTTTGAGTGTCATTGATGGAGACGATGATATTGAGAAATATCGAGGAAAAAGATTAGAAGATTTAGAACCGTTTATTCCTGATGAAGACTATGACATTGAGGATACGAATCCTGATGAACCAAGTAAGTACGATCAGATAAATAGTGAAAGATATACATTTAGGAAATTTCCTAGAATGATATTTTTTACTTATAATTTGAGATTTAGAAAACTGATATGAACGAAAATTGCTTCTAAATAATTGGGTTCACTTTAAACTGTTTTATAGTTATGAATTAGGTATAGCTAAATATTAATTAAGTCTGTGGCAACTTTAATGTGTTTCTGCAACTTTTAAAAATTTGACCCATTTTTTGTTTTTCACATACTTACATTATTACTGTTTTTTTTACAAATTAAATCCAAGTCTTTTGGAATAAACTAAAGTAAAACCAATTTTTTAACAAAAATCTTTATTTCGGCAATGTATATAAACCATGCTGTATGCTGTAAAGTTGTTAAGAACTATAGTAGCAACTTTTTAAAATTGTAGTTTTTAAGTTATTGTTAAATTGATATACACTAAACTTAAATTAACACTTGTAAACTGAAAGAAAATGTACTTATTTTTTATGTAGGCACTGAAAAAAGAAGCGCTCCTGTTAATACACCTCAGAAGAAACGAAAAAGTCCTGCAAAACTACAAAGTCCGTCGCCGTCGTCCCGAAATCCTACGACTCAAGAAATTGAAGGTCGCCTAAAAAATCCCTCATTGCGTTTGTATCGGAGTCCATTATGTAAAAGGGGAAGAAAATTAAAGTGGACAGTAGCAGAATTAGACGTAATGCACACAGAATTTAAATACAATTTACAAGAAAAAAAACTGCCGAAACTTTCGCTTTGTCGGGTGATCCAAAGAAAATATTCGCATATATTTCAAAAGGAGCGGTCTGTCGGCTCTATATATACGTGGGTACAAAATCGTGTTAGAAATGTTGTTTATAATTGATTCGTGAAATAAAGTGCTGAATAAAATACAATGAGTTTTAATCAGTTAAACAATACTTCAACTGAAAGACATTTTAAGACGTTAGTAAAACTGACAATGTCAATGGATGTTTAGTATAGTGAGTATATAGCAGCACTTGATAAAGTGTAGTTTCGAATATGAGTTGTCTACATATGTAAGGGGTTGATTTACAAAATTCTACAAATCCAAATTCGTCGAAAAATGATTTATTCTTGGGTAGCGACAGACAGCAGTAAGACCATGGAATTAGTTGATGTGTTTACATCAATTAGTCTTAATTCCCCTTCAAATTGTGTAAGAAAAAAGAAAAAAAATCAAAACTCAACAGCGATGTCCGATTTATGAATGTCGTGATTTACATAATTATTATCGACAGGTGTCACTGTGCACTGCGACCGTTCAATGGAAACTAGGGCTTACATCTCTCATGATATTTATTTGTGTATAATTACCCCGAGAGAAGAATAAAAACACGATCAAAGCCAATCATGGATTTTTCAAAGTTTGTCTTTTATCGTTGTACTTTCGGCTCAAACTATTCAATTGAAATAAAAAATTAATCTGAAAAGACAAAATTCTATCCAAGACAAATCTTCAAAAATCCATGGTTATTTTTGATCGTGATTTTTATTGCGCTCTCGATATGTAGATAAACAGATTATTATCATAAAAATCGCTCTTTTCTAATTTGTTTTTAACAAAACTAAACTAAAACTAAATGGTTAAATATTAACAAATATTCACACTTCTGCCATAAGAGTTAACAAGTGTATGAGTGGTATTCAGTATAATAAAAATTAGTCCAAATAGATATGTCGACTTTTGTAAGTCAAATCTTCATGAGAAAGAAGACTATTGTTCAAATTTAAAAATTCCTGCTGAAATATGCCACCTATTAGCCAAGTAAGTTTATAAAAATGATCGTTATTAATAATAAAGTAGAAGAAATAACCAAAAATTAAGACATCACCGCAAGAAAATAGATTCCTCTTCGATGCGCCATCTACCGAAAATATTTATAACATAAAATTCACTTTTGGTTTAAACGAGCGTTGAAAATTCGCATGATTTTTTGCTCGCTTAAGGTTGTTTGAACTATTAATATTATTATTATATGTTAGTATGCTCTACAGGTTAAAACCCAATTACAGAACATACACACAACATGCCATCATTAAGTAGGTTTATAAATATTTCACATCTATTAGTCTTAATTGATTAGGATTTGTATTAAATAGATCTACAGTCCTTTGTGCAGAATTACCCAATCTCAACATGTTATACATAGGTGAGAATCGTAGAAAATCGGTTCGAGGTGTGGACATGTAGAACACATTGTGCACTCTGGTTGCAAGAAAACGTTTATTAATATGGAATTCAATTTGATATAACAGATCTGAACAGTTTATTTTAAAATTTAAGATTTTATATAAGAAGTACACAGTGGTAGTTTTATATCTATCAGATAAACTTAAAATAGAAAATCTTTCAAGTAGCTTAGATTGTTCAACTCCTAAAGGAGGATATACACTATCTTCTCTGAAGCAAATATATTTTAAAAAACGTCTTTGAACTTTTTCCAACATAGTTACATACTTCTTTTGATAAGGAAACCAAACAATATTTGCATATTCGATTATACTCCGAATGCACGTCCTATATATATGCAACAATGTTGTTATATTATTGAAATCTTTAGTATTCCTTAGAATGCAACCATATACTGCATATGCTTTTTTGCAGATTTTAAGCATGTGATCCGTAAAGCTTAATTTGCTATCAAATGTCACATTTTATGCATTCTGGCGTTCGTAGATACAAGAAAACTGTTAAAATTCTTCAGAAACGTCACTTTTGAAGTGTTTTCTTGTACTTTTAAGCCAATCAGATACCCTACGGGCTCGGAAAGTGCAACGAAACCATCAAATTTTAGCTAGAAACTGTATTTTTGTCGATTTTTATTGAATTTGAACTATATTTCAACGTTTATTGATGGTTCTGAGCCACCAAACACACTTAAAGCATGCAGAATCGACTCAGAATAGGAAAAGGAGACGTTTAGGTCAATTTTATGCATTCTGGCGTTCGTAGATACAAGAAAACTGTTAAAATTCTTCAGAAACGTCACTTTTGAAGTGTTTTCTTGTACTTTTAAGCCAATCAGATACCCTACGGGCTCGGAAAGTGCAACGAAACCATCAAATTTTAGCTAGAAACTGTATTTTTGTCGATTTTTATTGAATTTGAACTATATTTCAACGTTTTTTGATGGTTCTGAGCCACCAAACACACTTAAAGCATGCAGAATCGACTCAGAATAGGAAAAGGAGACGTTTAGGTCAATTTTATGCATTCTGGCGTTCGTAGATACAAGAAAACTGTTAAAATTCTTCAGAAACGTCACTTTTGAAGTGTTTTCTTGTACTTTTAAGCCAATCAGATACCCTACGGGCTCGGAAAGTGCAACGAAACCATCAAATTTTAGCTAGAAACTGTATTTTTGTCGATTTTTATTGAATTTGAACTATATTTCAACGTTTTTTGATGGTTCTGAGCCACCAAACACACTTAAAGCATGCAGAATCGACTCAGAATAGGAAAAGGAGACGTTTAGGTCAATTTTATGCATTCTGGCGTTCGTAGATACAAGAAAACTGTTAAAATTCTTCAGAAACGTCACTTTTGAAGTGTTTTCTTGTACTTTTAAGCCAATCAGATACCCTACGGGCTCGGAAAGTGCAACGAAACCATCAAATTTTAGCTAGAAACTGTATTTTTGTCGATTTTTATTGAATTTGAACTATATTTCAACGTTTTTTGATGGTTCTGAGCCACCAAACACACTTAAAGCATGCAGAATCGACTCAGAATAGGAAAAGGAGACGTTTAGGTCAATTTTATGCATTCTGGCGTTCGTAGATACAAGAAAACTGTTAAAATTCTTCAGAAACGTCACTTTTGAAGTGTTTTCTTGTACTTTTAAGCCAATCAGATACCCTACGGGCTCGGAAAGTGCAACGAAACCATCAAATTTTAGCTAGAAACTGTATTTTTGTCGATTTTTATTGAATTTGAACTATATTTCAACGTTTTTTGATGGTTCTGAGCCACCAAACACACTTAAAGCATGCAGAATCGACTCAGAATAGGAAAAGGAGATGTTTAGGTCAATTTTATGCATTCTGGCGTTCGTAGATACAAGAAAACTGTTAAAATTCTTCAGAAACGTCACTTTTGAAGTGTTTTCTTGTACTTTTAAGCCAATCAGATACCCTACGGGCTCGGAAAGTGCAACGAAACCATCAAATTTTAGCTAGAAACTGTATTTGTGTCGATTTTTATTGAATTTGAACTATATTTCAACGTTTTTTGATGGTTCTGAGCCACCAAACACACTTAAAGCATGCAGAATCGACTCAGAATAGGAAAAGGAGACGTTTAGGTCAATTTTATGCATTCTGGCGTTCGTAGATACAACAAAACTGTTAAAATTCTTCAGAAACGTCACTTTTGAAGTGTTTTCTTGTACTTTTAAGCCAATCAGATACCCTACGGGCTCGGAAAGTGCAACGAAACCATCAAATTTTAGCTAGAAACTGTATTTTTGTCGATTTTTATTGAATTTGAACTATATTTCAACGTTTTTTGATGGTTCTGAGCCACCAAACACACTTAAAGCATGCAGAATCGACTCAGAATAGGAAAAGGAGACGTTTAGGTCAATTTTATGCATTCTGGCGTTCGTAGATACAAGAAAACTGTTAAAATTCTTCAGAAACGTCACTTTTGAAGTGTTTTCTTGTACTTTTAAGCCAATCAGATACCGTACGGGCTCGGAAAGTGCAACGAAACCATCAAATTTTAGCTAGAAACTGTATTTTTGTCGATTTTTATTGAATTTGAACTATATTTCAACGTTTTTTGATGGTTCTGAGCCACCAAACACACTTAAAGCATGCAGAATCGACTCAGAATAGGAAAAGGAGACGTTTAGGTCAATTTTATGCATTCTGGCGTTCGTAGATACAAGAAAACTGTTAAAATTCTTCAGAAACGTCACTTTTGAAGTGTTTTCTTGTACTTTTAAGCCAATCAGATACCCTACGGGCTCGGAAAGTGCAACGAAACCATCAAATTTTAGCTAGAAACTGTATTTTTGTCGATTTTTATTGAATTTGAACTATATTTCAACGTTTTTTGATGGTTCTGAGCCACCAAACACACTTAAAGCATGCAGAATCGACTCAGAATAGGAAAAGGAGACGTTTAGGTCAATTTTATGCATTCTGGCGTTCGTAGATACAAGAAAACTGTTAAAATTCTTCAGAAACGTCACTTTTGAAGTGTTTTCTTGTACTTTTAAGCCAATCAGATACCCTACGGGCTCGGAAAGTGCAACGAAACCATCAAATTTTAGCTAGAAACTGTATTTTTGTCGATTTTTATTGAATTTGAACTATATTTCAACGTTTTTTGATGGTTCTGAGCCACCAAACACACTTAAAGCATGCAGAATCGACTCAGAATAGGAAAAGGAGACGTTTAGGTCAATTTTATGCATTCTGGCGTTCGTAGATACAAGAAAACTGTTAAAATTCTTCAGAAACGTCACTTTTGAAGTGTTTTCTTGTACTTTTAAGCCAATCAGATACCCAACGGGCTCGGAAAGTGCAACGAAACCATCAAATTTTAGCTAGAAACTGTATTTTTGTCGATTTTTGTTGAATTTGAACTATATTTCAACGTTTTTTGATGGTTCTGAGCCACCAAACACACTTAAAGCATGCAGAATCGACTCAGAATAGGAAAAGGAGACGTTTAGGTCAATTTTATGCATTCTGGCGTTCGTAGATACAAGAAAACTGTTAAAATTCTTCAGAAACGTCACTTTTGAAGTGTTTTCTTGTACTTTTAAGCCAATCAGATACCCAACGGGCTCGGAAAGTGCAACGAAACCATCAAATTTTAGCTAGAAACTGTATTTTTGTCGATTTTTATTGAATTTGAACTATATTTCAACGTTTTTTGATGGTTCTGAGCCACCAAACACACTTAAAGCATGCAGAATCGACTCAGAATAGGAAAAGGAGACGTTTAGGTCAATTTTATGCATTCTGGCGTTCGTAGATACAAGAAAACTGTTAAAATTCTTCAGAAACGTCACTTTTGAAGTGTTTTCTTGTACTTTTAAGCCAATCAGATACCCTACGGGCTCGGAAAGTGCAACGAAACCATCAAATTTTAGCTAGAAACTGTATTTTTGTCGATTTTTATTGAATTTGAACTATATTTCAACGTTTTTTGATGGTTCTGAGCCACCAATCACACTTAAAGCATGCAGAATCGACTCAGAATAGGAAAAGGAGACGTTTAGGTCAATTTTATGCATTCTGGCGTTCGTAGATACAAGAAAACTGTTAAAATTCTTCAGAAACGTCACTTTTGAAGTGTTTTCTTGTACTTTTAAGCCAATCAGATACCCTACGGGCTCGGAAAGTGCAACGAAACCATCAAATTTTAGCTAGAAACTGTGTTTTTGTCGATTTTTATTGAATTTGAACTATATTTCAACGTTTTTTGATGGTTCTGAGCCACCAAACACACTTAAAGCATGCAGAATCGACTCAGAATAGGAAAAGGAGACGTTTAGGTCAATTTCATGCATTCTGGCGTTCGTAGATACAAGAAAACTGTTAAAATTCTTCAGAAACGTCACTTTTCAAGTGTTTTCTTGTACTTTTAAGCCAATCAGATACCCTACGGGCTCGGAAAGTGCAACGAAACCATCAAATTTTAGCTAGAAACTGAATTTTTGTCGATTTTTATTGAATTTGAACTATATTTCAAAGTTTTTTGATGGTTCTGAGCCACCAAACACACTTAAAGCATGCAGAATCGACTCAGAATAGGAAAAGGAGACGTTTAGGTCAATTTCATGCATTCTGGCGTTCGTAGATACAAGAAAACTGTTAAAATTCTTCAGAAACGTCACTTTTGAAGTGTTTTCTTGTACTTTTAAGCCAATCAGATACCCTACGGGCTCGGAAAGTGCAACGAAACCATCAAATTTTAGCTAGAAACTGTATTTTTGTCGATTTTTATTGAATTTGAACTATATTTCAACGTTTTTTGATGGTTCTGAGCCACCAAACACACTTAAAGCATGCAGAATCGACTCAGAATAGGAAAAGGAGACGTTTAGGTCAATTTTATTATTATTATTATTATTATTATTATCCTCGATCTTGACTTAGAGCGACACTTGCTGCTTTAGCATCAATTTTAGGGAGGCATTGGCAAAAATGCATTGCCGCCCTAAAACGATTTAT